ACTGATTACAGGTAATTAGAAGTAGTGTACGAAGCCTCTGATTACACAAAACAAAACAATTTCTTGTGTTTTAGCCTAAAACTCAATAACCAGTTAAGGCTGATAAGTATTTCACTGTCTTCATTTATAAAGAAATAAATTGTTTTTTAAACAACTAACTATCTGACCTCTTGTTTTAATACTAATTCACTTCCGGAAAACTAACTAACAAAGATCGATTCAATTAGTTTAAAGAAAAATAATGATTTTATCAGTGAACTTAATTGTAGTTAAACAGTGAAGAATTATCTTATGGTTTTTATCAAAACAACTCTAAAATGTATTAAGCTAAATTTGTATTGAGTGGTTTGATTTTACACTGATTGATCACTGAGCATTCATCAAATTTTATTGACCAAATTCAATCTGATCATCATCATGAAACTAGTTGATTCAAGGTCAAGGTGAATCTGACCTTGGACAACATGAAGTTGTTGACTACCCACTGACCGACTAGTATTGTGGTGTGAGCTACTTATGAGTAGTATATGACGTGAGTGTCAACGTAATGTCTGGCAGCAGAACATGGGGGAAGATCAAGAAAGGAAGAGTTAGAACACAATGGAATTTGTATGAAACGCATGAACAGTGAGTGACAATGGATTGATGTTTTGCAACAGGAACAGTCCAGTTCGAAATGATGAACTGATATTTTGCAAATTACCGATTTACGATATGGTTTTCCGATTTTACTGAGTAACTCTGCAATTTTCGTTAAATACAGTCCGGTTGCCCTCACCTGTGTTCTCCTTCACTTTGTTTGGTGTCGCTGCCTGCTCGAAGGAAGGAGCTCCCATGGCCGAAGGAGTTGGAGGACGGAGATTTGCGGAGCTTCCTGGAGGAGTTTGAGGCCGCGGCTGAGCTGGTGGGTGTGAAGGGGCCCGGGGCGGAGTTGTCGGTGCTGGGGACGCTACGGGGAGGTGAGGCAAAGGCGGTATACGACAGCCTGGACGGTGCCGCCGGGAAGACGGAGTTGGAGATGGTCACCGGGCGGCTGATGATGGAGTTCTACAGCCCAGTGGATACAATCCGGTTGCCCCACCTGTGTTCTCCTTCACTACAGTATAACTATCCGAGTCCTTATTGAAACCTGTCGTAATAGACTATGACGACATAATTGACCAACACACTAGATGAACTGAGTTCACATCTCATCTTACTTTGGTTTCACCTAAGATTACAGACAGATATTATTGTTCATATAGAACTAACTAGAACAAACTCGGCCTGCTGGCTTTCGTCAAATACTTCCAATCAACTGAAAAATATCTATCTATTTATTTACCTATCACCTGCTTGTAAATTATTATTAGCCTTACTTGCTTGCACTTACAAACACGGATAGTAGTAGTATAACACAACATTACAATAATAAGTTTGAATTTTTTTAACCGCTATACATTTGAGATATAAATAAAACAAGAATACAATAGTTGCCTAAAACTTTAGAAAAAAACAAACAATTGTTGATGTATTTCAATGAGTTCACTCACATAAACTAATTATAGGAAATGGGAATTCTAAACTTTATAATTTCAAAGTAATATTATTGTTGTTGATTAACACTGGGAAATAATCAACATTACATTATATATAATTTGTCCTTGAAAAAAAGAAAAGAGCTTGACCACTTCTCGACTAATTATAAAGAACAGAGTAAATGAACTTTGAATTTCTTGAGAAAGCATTCACAAGTTGATACTTACACTCATCTAATGAGTGGCATTTCACGGAGGATATTTGTGTAAAAATACATTCTTAATATTAATAAGAAAGAATGTGTTGCCTAATTGATGATAGAGTGAGTTCTCTAAGTTGGACAATTTGAAATTGCAAAGATTTCATGAATAATTAATAGAGCAGAAGTCTGATCAATGTCCACTTCAAGTATATGTAGGATAGTTTTCGTTTTCACATATTGTGTGTGATCCAGAGGTCACTCAATAAGGACATATCTGATTACAACACTAGTTGGGCTGAGTTCAAATCTTGTCTTATTTTGGTTTCATTAAGTTTATAGACCGATTTTATTATGTATAACTTAGAATAAAAACCTGACTACAAGTGCTTCCAATCAACTGAAAAGAATTTATTTATTTACAAATGTTTGTGAATGTTTAAATTATTCCATTGTTATGTTGGAGACTGAGTTGTAATTATTCTCTTTTGCGTAATGACAATCTTAAATAAAAGCACACTGTATACACAGTGCTTTTGCGTTAAAAGTAAAATAAACGTAACTGGAGACTAAGAATTCATTACTGGACAAAATTCGTCGTAGCGTGGACTAGTCAGTTATGGTGTTTAAAATGCAGAAGAATGAAAATAACGAAAGGAAATCAAGATTTATCTGATGAGTTCAAAAATAAGCCACTAATCTCCTAAATAAACAGACCAAACATTCAAATATAGAGCATAATTCAAGTATTATTTTTCACAAATAAATATACCTGGAAGTGAAATCACCTATTTTCATCGCAATTCTGTTGCCACGAAAATTTGGAGCAACATGTGGATATCATTACCTACTAGAAAAAATGTTTCTCAAGTGTAAATATCATTCTTCTAATGTGATACCTTCATGTGGAAACTTTGTCTTTTCCACTCGAGACTGTAGGCAGGTTTTATAAAGACCAAAAGCCATATTGTTTAGACTAAGCTCTCCAAACGCAGTTTCAAGTTGGTGTATTTCTAGAATATTTAACGTCTTTGTTTGATTTAACAGGAAAGTGTCCGAATTACAGACTTGTTGATATACAATCAATTTTCGCTTCTAATTCGTTTGTCTTAAGTAACACAGAACCTGACACGTATGTGCACTGAGCGTTGAAGTAGGTGGTGATTAAGAGTGCATAATACATATCTCTACCTACTTAGTTGATTAGGGTTCAAAATCGTATTAACTAGTTCACTATCTCTGTCTGCTGCCTTCCACATATATTTAAAACTACTCACTTGAAAATCTGATTATAAACAAAAAGTCCCATCAAAACACCTATAGTCGACCGCCCATAACCTAAGAATATCTTCTTCTTACAAAAGGCATGTTGCTAAATTTAGACCCACCTTCTCCACAGTTAACGCGACTGAGCAAACAACAGGGAGACTTTCTGGTCTTGGTGTTATTTATGCAAAATGGTGGTCCCCGTACTCATTCTGCGCTTAATTTGGTTGCCAAGTACAATATGTTCGTTTGTGCTGACAGAGTTTGTCCTTAATTCAGTACTGATCTATACGTGGCTACTAGAGTACCAATCAGAAATTTCTGGGTATGAAAAGATAATATATAGAATGCAGTCACTCCTGATTAACACATCGGCCTCACGACCTAAGAAGTAAATTTGCTGTCTACTTCTCTCTGATGGTGTTTTGCGTTCAAATTTTCGTAGTGTTGTTCCTCATTCACTGTGTAGATAGTCCTTGAAGCTCATCATAGCAGACATTTGGATGATGGGAAAGTAAACTTTTTAGCATAAGTCACCTGTTGACGGCCGAACTCAAATGCAGATACATGTCGTACAGCAGAGAAGTGCGAAGGACATCATAGGTTGAGAAGCCATCCTTCAAAGTGGACTCCATAGAAAGTGTTGTCTGAGGCTTGTAGACTACTGTTGATAACTTCTTGACAAATGCTATGCATGTGTCTTCATTGACTATGTTTCTAAGTGACCCACAGTTCTTTTCACAACTTCACCTTATTCTGAAACCACCATCCAAGAATTGAGAAGAGTGTTCAGTAGGGAAGGAGCTCCTAGGGTATTAGTGGCAGACAATGCTTCTCTCAAACAACTCACCGGCGTTAATGTAACTTTTCGGATAAGTGAATTAGTCTGTATTTCATAATGTTAGAAATCTCAGATGAAAAATAAGACAAGAAGATGGCTTTACAGTTGTGTTGCAGTCAATAAACAAACACTCAGTTTCTAATGGAATGCGTGCCGATATGCAACTATTTGTTTTAGAACTTGATCTTCTTAGTGAGGAAAAAGACTTTCTGGGACTTTCTTTTATAATTTTGTAATATGCATAGTTCTCCATCGCGAATTAAAAAAGTTATGAAGTACCAATGCAATATATTTTTTAAAATTCCGTTTTATGCTTCAACCACAGCCATAATATTTACGCCTGAAAGTTATCCCTGCGTACCATAAGAATGACTTGCTGTGATATAGCCATTTAGTAAGAAAATTTTGAGCCGGAAAAAAGGAGACATGATGCTTTGGATTCTGATCAGCCAAGAGAATGACTGTATCCAATTCAGACCTGTGGGAAGTGTCTTAAGCTATGAGAAGAAATGCAGGGGATACGTTTTGGATGGATCCTGATAGCTTACTCAGTATTCACTTACAAACAAAATTTAGCGTATAAAGATAACTGATACAAATTCTTGATAAAATGCTAGTAAAATCAGAGCCATACACCATTTGATTGTACTAAATAGTAATTACCAAGTACAACCGAGGCAGCAAAAGTATAATATACTCATGACATTGAGTCAAAAATTTAGAAACAAGATAACACTTCATGTATTTTGCTTAAAATTTAAAGTGCGTCGATTGACAACATCTGTGTTACGACTAATAAAGTGTGTATTGGCAATATTCTGTCTATAAAATGCCTGAATTCAAAAGAAATTTTTGTCAAGATACTGAAAAGTGAACTTGAGATGGTGGGTAATCTCCTTCCGTAAACAACAGAATGGTAAAGTATCGCATCATAGCTGATGCCAGTTCGCCAAGAAAACTCTGACTTCCACAACAAAAATCAGAGCCAAAACCTGAGCTTTAAAACCGATCCCTAACATTTTATTATCATAGCTACTATCAATTCTGAACGAAAATTCCGTGGGGTGATAACCTTAACTTATGAGTTACTGACTGGACTTTAAACATGTATACCTAACAGATTTTTTTCATTCATTTAATTTAACGGAAATTAAAAACTGTCTGAAAACAACTTGCCCGCAAGTACATATTTGGCAAATGCATAATTTGGGTGACCCGTTTTCCATAGTTCCACCAAAACTTGTTTCAAATCTGTCCTTACGTTTGCTATTGACTACGCTTGGAAGACGACATATTAAAACAAATCTTATCCAGCACGGTTTTACAATATCCAATATTCAATATCTCCTTCACGATCTGGTATGAACCGATTGATTTCATCTCACTCAATTCCTAATCTTTCGATATGGTTTCAGGTATTTGGTAGTATCTAATGAGTGATTGTCTAGCCACTCTACTGAACTAATTCTAGTCAGTCAGCAGTTGGCTGTGAATTTGCATGTCCTGTAATTTGAATGGATATGTTTGTCTCAGAGAAGTAGGGTTTGTGGGTGCCAGCGGCTACCAAATCACCAGGTTGGATATCAATCAGTTACAGTGAGGAGAACAACGGGGAGAAAAATCAAACGCTAATGAGAAGAGGAAAACCTCAGTAATATTTAAATAAATGAATAAGTAGGTCAACCAATTAGTAGTGACGACTATGCGAGAAGACAAAATTGTAAGGAGGGAAGAGAAAAACGAGATAATAAGCGAGATAACGATGGGCTAATTTTGTCTAACAAATCACTAATAAATATCAGGAACCTAAGATGGTCTCTTGTGAAACTCCTGATGTTGAGACTCTCCAGTTCGCATGCACTCCATTTACCTTGGTGCTCAACTTTCTGTTCTCAAGGTGGTTTCTGAGCAAAGATAGAACTGGATCAGTGAAACCCATCTTCACAACTTTCCCAATTAGGAGTGCGTGGGTACTGTGTCGAAAGCTTCTGCAAAGTCAAGAAAGACTATGTGAGCTGATACTTTTCAGTCCAGGAAGGTTGTCTAATTGTCCCATGGTATGAGAAGATTGGACGCACATGATCTGCCTTTCAGAAACCCGTTTTCAGCTCCATGGAGGATTTCATTCATATCCATGTATTCCCTTATTCGATAATTCATCAGTCGTTCCATTGCCTTCGATAGTATTGATAGTAATGTTACTAGTCCTATCACCTGCTTTGAAGAGTGAAGAGAGAGTAGCTTTGTCTCATTCAGTTGAGATTCGGTGTGACTCCTGTGAATGCCTGAACAAATCACACACATGTGGAGTGAGGGCTTCTGCATGCTGTTTCAAGACTACTGGGAGAATATTATTCCTAGTGATTTTCATGGGCTCAGGGATTTTAGTTTTCTTTGCACCAAGCCAAGAGTAAGTCGGATATTCCCTAGGCCGTCAGCTGACACTAGGTTTGAATAGTACTTTGAACGTGTAAGTACTTGGTTTAACTCATATGTGACGTTGGTGTTGAAGATCTCAGCCATCTCTACGTTGATGAGGCCTTCACCATTTGAACCTTTCAGGTGACAAACACTGTGGTTCGCAGGTTATTTTTACTCATGAACCTAAACAGACATGTTGGGTTTGCCTGTATGCTGGTAGCTAGATTCATCCGGAAGTATCTCCTACCACTTTGGCAATTGACATTGCGTCTGTTTCTTAATGCCAGGTAAGAACTACGATCAGAATCCTTCAGAGAGAACTTCAACTTGTGCCAGACTCTCCTTTTCGCCTGTGGCAAGCGTACAGAGCATCGCTTAACCTATGTCCTCTTTCTAAGTATGCGATATCCCTGAAGTACATTGGATTGGATTGCATTCTGAATGATGCCTCTCACCGTTTGCTAGTAGTCACCGACTGATAGCTTCCACCATTCTCGTGGCCATGAGGCGTGTAGAAGATGCTCTGTCATGCACATGTAGTATGTCCTAGTGTAGTAAATGTAGGTTTACTTTTCGCCCCTCCTGAGTACTTCGTTTTTGACCATGTTAAGCATGACTTTGCCATGGTCACTAATTTCTGTTGGTGTGTAGACATTGATCTTCATGATCTTCAGACCAGTTAGCCAATAGCTTATATATACTGTGAGAGAGTAGGCGATACGACTGTCTTTATGTGCATTCTGAACCGTAGGCTGTGTCGATTAAGTTTAAGTATGTTTATTCTTTTTTCGCATACTGAGTTTGATCAAATAACCTTAACTGATTTCAACAGCACATCCCTGAATCCCAGCAAACAGGGTACAACTCCCACTAGTCAGCTCCAAAGACTACTTGTTGTGGCCCCTAAAAGTCTCCGACTGATTGAGGATGTATATGATTCCTTTACATGGACTAAGGATGGGAAATCATCAAACTTGGGTTATTTGTAAATAAATAACATGATCAAAAACGAAGTACTCAGGAGGGGCGAAAAGTAAACCTACATTTACTACACTAGGACATACTACATGTGCATGACAGAGCATCATCCACACGCCTCATGGCCACGAGAATGGTGGAAGCAATCAGTCGGTGACTACTAGCAAACGGTGAGAGGCATCATTCAGAATGCAATCCAATCCAATGTACTTCAGGGATATCGCATATAGAGGTATTATCTACCCAAGCAGTTAACTTTGTTTCCATTAGGTGTAGGTTGAACGCGCTATCCCCCAATCCAATATCCAAACACAATAATTCTAGGAGAAACCTGTCTATTTTTATTATAAAATGGAAATACAAACATTTACCTAACTATTAATACACCTTCCAAGTCCAAATTACCCTGATGGGTATCCGATTCCAAAAGAATAAGTGTTACTAGTTCTTACTGCCACGGTATCAAATCAATATATGGCTGTAGCCATACTAAATATCAAATTTAAACAATATATATACAGTTCAGAAGCAAACATAAAAACTTCAATATAAGTACAAAATATAGAAAGAATAACAACATACAATGATAAAATCTCAAAATGGAATCAAATAGAGTACCAAAATGTCAACAGAAAGAGTCAGTCATATCATAACACAAATATATATACATGGAGGGATTTTCCAAAAAGCAAAACATTCGAAAAAGATTCTACACTGGCCCGCAAAATCCCTCCATGCAAAAAGGCAAGCGTATACTGACACTTCAAGTTAGGGTTCACTCTGATCCCCTAATCCACACCGGAAGAACGAGTAGGACTTACAGCAGTACGCCTACCCGCCATCCAACATGGATATGACCTATCAAGCTAACTAGGTACCTATACCTTCCCATCAGGCCCTTGATTCCCCTATCTATCATAGAATGACCTAACGGTAGTTTAGACCTTATCCAATTAGCCCATATGAACATGTACAACACCTCGTAAAGCTGGTCACATCCTATCCGGGAATTACATTCCATATCATGGGGATGAGTCGTCAATCCACCACCACTTGCTCCGAACGGCAGATACAATGAAGTCCGTGATGCTGACTTATCAACAGAAGTCCTTGACCCACAAATCATATGCAAGGGTGGGATATCCAATTTTGATATCTGCTCGTCTCCTGAAGACTCTAAGTGGCATAACATAGGAACAATATCTAACTCTCCATCTCCTGATACACAAGAGGTTTGATCAGCATTTGTCATCGTCGGCAACTCATTTGTCACATCAGTGACATCCAGGTTATTATCAACGTCATCATGATTCCGTTCTGTCAGACAAGTCGCGTCGTTTCTGTCTGCACTAGCATTCGTAGAGTGAAACTCTTCCATTGTTGTGTAACTCATCTCGCTACATGAAAGAACAGCATAAGTAACGCAATTCCGAACCGATAAACTCACTTGTTGTTCTTCATGTTCCGTTTCAGAGACACAAGGCATATGCACATCAATAGCATCGTTATCATGCAACACTGTAGACTGACTGTTACCATCAGACGCTTCCTTCTCATCATCACTCGACTGACAGTCAACCGGAGTACGAACACTTATAGTTACACAACCTTGTGTATCCTCAATCAAATTAGCATTCGCGGCAGGGTCCGATGACGTCAAAACACTAGAAGGCTCATTCGATGAAGTTGATCCACTAGTCACTATAAGTGGACTGCTCACGCTTTCTGTCTCTTTACTATCGCTGTCGCCACTAAGATTCTGATGACTACTGTTTCCATTGCTAGTCATACCATCCGAAAGAGAACGAAGTTTAGGCTTCTTAATAATAGTAGCATCATGTTGTTTCTTATGCTTCTTAGTTTGGGCAGCAGTATGTGATCAACACTGCTTTCTTTACCAGGAATGCTCTTAACCTCGTCTATCTTATCACTGTTGGTAGTGCTCATAATAATGATAATAATAACAATAATAATAATAATAATAATAATAATAATAATAATTAATTCTCAAATAACAAACATGTTACAAGAGACATGCCAATTTACAGGCAAGATCAAAATGTCAAGATTAGCAACATATTTTTTTTAAAACGGTATACAGTTACTGAAACATTTCACACGATTCATTGTTTTCTTAAAGATGGAATGTACAAAGCGAGTAATTGGCGCAAGTTACGAAGGTTGCGTTACGACAATCATCTTATGGACTGGGAAACGATTCATGGTACATATGGGTTTTCATATAGCAAGAATTGATGCGGTAACTGTACAAAGGTCTGGTTGATATTCGTCAGCTAATGATTTCAAATTTTCTTGGGTAGGGTAACCAAGTCTACTGCAAATATCCAGACTAATATATGTGGATTGGAATAAGGTTCTGAAAAAAGAGGACTAAAGAAAACGGGACGAGGAGCAGAACAGAAAATATTCATGTTCAAAGCCGAACAATGGCTTTGCACATACGTTTATGGATAAAACAAAGGTATGTTTACCCAAACATTTTTAATATCAGAACACTTTACACCTGCGCTTATGTAGGTTAATGAAGACAATTCAGTAGTGAGATAACTAGTGAGAAGTTAGTCGAAAGAATCGAGGAAATTCAGAAGAACCAAGTTGTTAGTAATAAAGTTGATTTACAAAATATAATAAAGAGGATCAGTGATATAATTTTTTGGTTTTATTTATTCTTTTTATTTTTAACTCTGAGGCTCAAGAAGTTATGAATGAGCTCTTTTTAGTATAGTTGTACAGACCAGCTTGTAATAGGATTTCTCGGTAGGAAGTAAAGACCAGTGCAAGGTTACAGACATGGGTCGTAGACGAG